TTTTAACAAAATTACGCAATAAGAACAAGATACGAAAACAGCAAGTAAACACAATGAATCCAAAAAACACCAATTGATATGACACACCACACGTATATACAAATTGTACAAACAACCTCGCCGATCATGTCTTGGTGGAATTCCTTTGAAGAATTGCAGGACTTACACCAGTACGCCTACAACCCTTCTCAGGTTGACGATTGTAATTTGTGGAATGTACGGACACAAACAAGATTAACCAACAATTACATCAATTGGAACTCCCACAATTATTTAACACAAACATATATACAATCAACACATCAAATGTTAAGTATTCTGGCACGACAAACTACCCTTGAAGAACTGTAGGACTTACAGCAGTACGACTACAACCCTTCTCAGGTTGACGCTCTAGGTTGGAAGTTCGTCGCAGAGTTCATTTGCTGATTTCCTTCTGTCAGCTATATCCTCAAATCTGAACGGCAACACGCTCATGTCATTGTATCGTAGAATATAGATGACGAACAAACACACGACGTATCTGATCAACCAAGCGAAGACACAGAGTAATTTACACCAAAGATAATAGCATTCAAATAGTATCTTGGAACTTGAAAAGCCTTTATTCATGCAAGTCAATTTAACAATTACCCTCTCATACACACTTGGCTTATTCTCACTAAACTGAGCAATATCTTTTGTCTTTTCAAATGCACCAACACTATCAAAATCATTGCACAAGATACTTGAGTTCATGGGCGTCTTCTTCATTGTGGATGACAACATCAACGATAACTGAGTGACACAAGTTGATGAACTTAGCGTTGGATGAAAAATTGTTGTTGTTCGCCTTTCAGAAAGTTGTCCAACTGTAAGATTACCACTACTGCTGTATTTTACTATCAGCTCAGGTTTAGCACTAGCATCTGATGATAGGTGTGCTTCACTCTGATCAATTACACTGACGGTTTGAAATGTATACATGCCTTCTGCAACTGCATCTGCATATAATGCTACATCGCTTTCAAGTTGTACACAACCTTTGTCAATGTAGTTGAAGATTGAACGATCAATTCATGGTTGTTTGCTCAAAACCAACTTCCCCAATTTTCGCGGAGGCATCAATACGACAGTCATCGTCTCATCGGTCGCTGTTCAGAAAGAAGTCAGCAGCGAACCGTCAGAAGTAATATTGTGATTTGTTATTGTAATATTTGTTCACAGGCCTTAGTCATTCGTCATTTATATGTTGGTGTATCAATAAAGAATCCTCGAGCCAACAATTGGTGTTTTGGTTTTTCGTCCGTTATTACTAAGCGTTTCTGAAAAACTTCAAGGAACAGCGTGAGCCCGAGCGTAGCAAGAGCTGGGCATTACCGGCTTACGAGAAGTGGCTGACAGTTTCTGACGGTGAAGTGAGCTTCTGGCGGTGGAAACAGATTCTGGAGGATTCAGACAGTCGGTGACAGTTTGGATAGTCACCGTTCATCTTTCCTGGTGCCGGTCAAGTCCTCTTCGAACAAGCAATATCTGGAACGTTTTTGGAATTGGGTCGAGTTCAACAATGCCTGGGTCAAAGAAGGGACAGAGCGTCTTGGATGTAAACAGAAAAGTAAGTCATGGTGACTTGTCTGTTAATTGTAACGATGTGCCTGATGTTAAGCATGACATGGTTGATGTTACTGTTTCGCCGTTCAGGGATAATAGGAACATCAAACTCCCTAAATTTGAACCACGGTGTTTTGATGGAAACCCGGCTGATTATTTACAATTTGTAAAGGAGTTTGAGATCATGCTGAGTGGTTTTTTATTAACTGATGAAACGATGTTAATGTATTTGATGAGGTGTTGCACTGGAGATGCTGCAAGAGCTATACAGTGCTGTAAGCTCATGCCCCCTAATGAGGGATACGCTGAGGCTATGAGCATACTACGTCAAAGGTTTGGAAGACCTTCGATGATTGTAGGGAAATTATTCGAGGCTGTTAAGGGTAATGGTAGTCAACTACAAGATGACTCCCAGGCACTTACTGAGTTTATGGATAATCTGTTGATTTACAAGAATGCATTGGTTTCGATGAATTGCATGAGTGACCTCAACTCGAGTTTTATCCTAGAAGTAATAGCAAGACGCCTACCTACTCGACTGCAAAGGAAGTGGGTGAAGATAAGCTCCCGTATGGAGGATGAGGGTATCGAGCCAAAATTTGATGATATCCTGAAACTAGTGAAAGATAGTGTCAATCAATCTATGAGCAAGTTCGCCAGTATATTGAATCTCACCCCTAGAATAGAGCAGTCTGAGGGTAACACGCAATCACTGATGACGAGTAGGCCTCAGAGAGGTGGATATCGAGAAGGCTCCATGATGTCTAGTAATGCATATAGACCTAGTGAGTGTAACAGGTTTCGTAGTACATCCTCAACAGATAAGTTACAAGATACAAGACAAACACGGTTGTGCTTGACACGTGTGCAAGAGGTGCATACAGAAGTGAACTGTGAACCGGTGAGCAAGTTCAGTGATAAGCTAAATGTAAACTCCAGGTCTGACTCCGAATTGTGTGACGAAAACGGTGCGGCCAAGAAGTCTGTAGTTGCAACTGGTAAGCTGTTGTTGAATAGAGTGTCACAGAATAGATTTACTGCTTCAGAGTGCAGTTTTGACTCCACAAGTTTACAAAGTATAACTAGTCAGAGTGAAGATATAGAACCTTTAAGGATTTGTGAGGAGGAACCAAAATTGTCTGCTTCTGTTATTAAAGAGTTTGAAAATGATGAAGTTGACGGTGAATTGAATATTCGTGATAATGATCATGATACTACACAGTTGTCTTTGGTTAATCATGATGAGATGATAGATATGCCTACTACTGCTAAGTTGAACAAAGGTTCTGTACAACTTGAACGTGAAGTGGAAATAAATGCAGATGCAGTTGCAGGAGGCATGCATACTTGTGAGACCGTCAGTGTGATTGATCAGCATGTAGCCCGCCTATCATCAGATGCTAGTGCTAAACCTGAGCTGATAGTAAAATACAGCAGTAGTGGTAATCTTACAGTTGGACAACTTTCTGAAAGGCGAACAACAACAATTTTTCATCCAACGCTAAGTTCATCAACTTGTGTCACTCAGTTATCGTTGATGTTGTCATCCACAATGAAGAAGACGCCCATGAACTCAAGTATCTTGTGCAATGATTTTGATAGTGTTGGTGCATTTGAAAAGACAAAAGATATTGCTCAGTTTAGTGAGAATAAGCCAAGTGTGTATGAGAGGGTAATTGTTAAATTGACTTGCATGAATAAAGGCTTTTCAAGTTCCAAGATACTATTTGAATGCTATTATCTTTGGTGTAAATTACTCTGTGTCTTCGCTTGGTTGATCAGATACGTCGTGTGTTTGTTCGTCATCTATATTCTACGATACAATGACATGAGCGTGTTGCCGTTCAGATTTGAGGATATAGCTGACAGAAGGAAATCAGCAAATGAACTCTGCGACGAATTTCCAACCTAGAGCGTCAACCTGAGAAGGGTTGTAGGCGTACTGCTGTAAGTCCTACAATTCTCCAAAGGGTAGCATATCAATGAGCAGTCCAATGTGCTTGGTGTAGGATTTTGTGCATATGTTCATATTGTATATACTGAATTGATATCATCTGTCATCTAGCTGTTGGTAATTCTCTTTGTGTCCGGACGACTTCCACTTGGATCATCAACCTGAGAAGGGTTGTAGGCGTACTGCTGTAAGTCCTACAGTTCTTCAAGGGTAGTTTGTCGTGCCAGAATACTTAACATTTGATGTGTTGATTGTATATATGTTTGTGTTAAATAATTGTGGGAGTTCCAATTGATGTAATTGTTGGTTAATCTTGTTTGTGTCCGTACATTCCACAAATTACAATCGTCAACCTGAGAAGGGTTGTAGGCGTACTGGTGTAAGTCCTGCAATTCTTCAAAGGAATTCCACCAAGACATGATCGGCGAGGTTGTTTGTACAATTTGTATATACGTGTGGTGTGTCATATCAATTGGTGTTTTTTGGATTCATTGTGTTTACTTGCTGTTTTCGTATCTTGTTCTTATTGCGTAATTTTGTTAAAATTTTCGTCGTGATTACTTCTGAAGTTGTTTCGAGTCTTCTACATCCGTGAATGAATTGATTGATGTTAAAGACAGCAGATGGGTCGTATACGCCGGGGAGGCTAAGCTATTGCTGAGAATGAAATGCACACGGAGATAAATGTTAGCTGCGGTCCGACACGCCGGGGAGAAAGAGTGTAAGCGACTGAGGCTCGCATGTGTCACCGCTACTATAACTGAGGCAGAATGAGTGACAAGCGATTTCAATGGTAATTGGTAGTGAGTAATTAAGAGGATGTGCGTAGAGTACCGTGAGGTCCTGCCATGGTCACTTTGCATTCTGCAAGAGTCATTCTAGCAAGTGGCGATTTTGTTGCAAGAGGATGTGTCAAGTGGATGCCTTTAACTGGAAGGCGCAGGTCGTCATTGATGTGTGAGATTGTGCTGTGAGTATGCTTGTGGTGTGTTGGCTTTTCTGTTTGTTTCCCATTTCAGCTCTGTCCGTGTGACTCGTGTTCTCGCAATGGCATCCAAGTCAACATGTATTGGTCGTGACGGATAAAAGGCATGGATCCCTTTTTTGCCGGGTAGTGTCAATGTAGTTGAAGATTGAACGATCAATTCATGGTTGTTTGCTCAAAATCAACTTCCCCAATTTTCGCGGAGGCATCAATACGACAGTCATCGTCTCATCGGTCGCTGTTCAGAAAGAAGAGTAAAACATCGTCAGAAGTAATATAACGATTTATTATTGTAATATTTGTTTACAGACCTTAGTTCGCTTATTCCTTTTATATGTTGGTGTAACAATAAACAAATCTCAAGCGGCAGATCAGTGTTTTGGTTTTTGTGTCCGTTATAACTAAGCGTTTCTGAGAAATCTTCGAAGAACAGCGTGGGCCCGAGCGTAGCAAGAGCTGGGCATTAACGGTTTATGAGACGTGATTGACACTAGTCATGCCGCAACATATCAGGATTTTGTGTTTTACAGTCTTCAGTGGCAGAGAATCTGGGACGTTGTAAACTATAGCTTGTTGAGAAGGGGCTATACGCTTCATCACCTCCGTAGCCAAGCAGACAATCAGATTTTCAGCTTTATTTATGTTGTCTGGAGATATTTTAGGATATTGTTTTAACAGACAGGCTAGTGGGTCTAAATCCGAAAGCTTTTTTTGAGTTACATCCAGTAAATACTTAACCTGGCCAATATCTGAACAGCTCTCCGTGGTATTTGAGATTGGCAGTGACATACTATCAAAGTGATCTAATTTTTTCTGAATTTCACTTACTTGCCTCTGCATATCTTTCAAAAGGAGGTTTAGTTTACAGAACTCAGAGTTCTCTAACAGAACATCTTTCACCCGTATCACAGGAGTGAGATCTGCACTGAAATCATTTTGAGAGCTAGTAGCTGATACTGTATTACACGGCGGTAATGCAGTTATAACCGAATTTGAGCCACTATCTAAAACAACTGTGTTTCTACAAACACGTTTTTCAGAGATTTGGACCATAATTTCAAGGATTATATGACAATAAGCAGTAAATAAGTTTCAGAGCAAACACGTGCAAAAATGTCACCAATTTCGAAAGTACCGCCAGAGGGATTTTCATTGACAAGTGGGTTAGGCTTCTTTCCTAAAGGTGGCGTTCTGACTCACGACATCCCTGAAAACCACCGCATCCAAGCCACCCAAGATCATCGATAGACTAATATTTACGAAATTAACACGCAAAATATTAGTCATAACTGCGATACACGTAACTCTACTGCAGCATACTATCCACAAGGAATACCCACCTCCCCCCATCCAATCTAAATTACCTCAGCCAGCACGAAATTTCGGCCTCAATATTGACTCAAATAGCACACATACTGTCAAGCCACTTATCACCGGATGGGAGGGCAGTACAATGAATTTATCAACACAATAGAAACAAAAGACTGGCAGCAACACGTACAGTATCCTACCAGGCTACCTAAGATTTTAGATCTAGTTTTCACTAATGGTATCATCCCCACTACCCTTCGAGTAGGTAAAGAGTTTCCTGGCAGCGACCACAGAGTAGTATTTGGTACATTCAATATTTGCACCAGCATGAGTTCAACAATAAGTATTACTCAGGGGTTACAGACATGCTGAGTGGGATAACCTGAAACCATACCTACGCACCCTAGACTGGGAGCCATACTTTACATGCAGCTCGGCTATAGAGACAAACAAATTACTCTATGAGTACCTAGGATTTGCACATGACTTCATCGCTTCAGTAAGACTTGTGAAAACGAGGCCTAAACAGTCCGAATTCATCCCCGTAAAGATTCGAAACCGACTGCGTAAGCATGCTAGGTAATTCTACAGATGTAATGACTTTTCATCACTCATTGCACTCAAGCAAACTTATGATTCATACAAATCTAATCAATTATCTGAGTTCATCAAACTAGAACGCATCCTCCACTCATGACCTGATAATACAGAGGCATTAGTTAAACTAATTAAGTCACGAATCAACAACAACAGAATAAGTATCCCTAACTTATTACTAGATGGAGAAAAACTATATGAAGACCCGCAGGAGATATGTGAGTTATTCAGCTCCCACTTTTCTAGCTATCATACTATTGAAGAAACAGTAGATAGTCTTGAAGTTCCGACAATACCAAATCACTTTTTGGGTAATATAACATTCACCCAACAAAAGATTTCCTCCTCTATAGCATCCCTCCGGACATCATATAATGCTGGACCTGATGGAATTCTATCTATCTTGTTGAAAGGAGGTGGTGAGGATATACCCATTATTTTTTCAATCTGTCCTTAAATAATGGCAGTTACCCAGAGTGCTGGAAACTGTCATTTATAACCCCTAGACACAAACTAGAACCAACTTATAAAACCGAAAACTAACGACCCATAAATATCACATCAGTAGTTCCCATGGTTATGGCAGAAGTCATAGGGCAAGATATTGCTTCATACCTCCACCTTCACAAAGTGTTTACTCCAGCACAACACGGCTTCTTGAAAAATCGATCATGCTCCACCTGCCTACTTGACTACTTTGATGATGTTACCGCATATACATGCATATAGCACGCATGATATCGGATCAATTCCTTGCTGGCATAGCGAACAGTCTACAGCTAGGGCAAGGCATATTTCCCGGGAGATAGCTGACACAGTGTCGACACCAAACGCGGATACTAATATCTCTAAAATATTAATATCTGATTATCACACAGGTGTCTCTCACTGCATACCATATCCAAACGTAAGCCCATCCCTGACTACCACCTCAAAAATCTACCTGAAGTCTTCCTACGATCCAAAGATATTGGTAAATGAGTCTGATAACATGTATATAGAGGATACTCACGGATTATTTTACCAAGATGTTGTCCGCTCACTGAAACCACATAGCCAGTGTTTATCTATTATCCTAGTAAATACGAGATCAGTTCTAAGCAAACATTTAGCACTAAGTACAATAGCTTCTATATGCAGACCGTCATTGATTATGATCACCGAAGCCTGGTGCACAAGTGAAATCTCCAATGACAGCCTAAGGATTGATAAATACAACCTTTTTCGCGGGGACAGACGGACAGGTCGTGGGGGTGGAACACTAATTTACTGTGAACAATCCATGTGTGCAACCCAGTTTAGTAACCCAATTCTGTCACAACTCAATGACTCGATCTGGGTCGAAATAAAAGTTGTCAGAAGTAAACCTATACTTGTGGGTTGTGTGTACCGGCCCCCTTCATCCAGCAGGGAATATGATAATATGCTTAGCAATATCTTTAATGTTACAGCCAATCTTCCTTTCAGTTATAAAATTATCGGAGGCGATTTCAACTTGCCAGAAGTATCATGGTCTTCACTCCGAGGACCCCAAAGGTACGATAATCTCATAAATTCCATCGTCACAGGAGGGTGGACACAACACATAAATTCACCCACTAGATCCGCAAATATCCTAGACCTTATTTTCACGAACAACATAACGCCATCTACCGTACATGTTGGACATGAATTTCCAGGTAGTGACCATAGAATAGTAGTTTGTTCTTTTGACATCTTTCCTGAAACAAAACGCAGAGATGAAGCTGGCCAGATACCTATGAGATTGTACACACATGCTGACTGGGACTTGTATCAGCACCTAATTAGATGTTCTAATTGGGACTCGTACTTTTCGAACCAGTCCTTAGATGCAATTCTTAACAACTTCTATCAGAATATTAACTCAATTCACGACGTCATTGCACCCGAGAAGATTCTTAACTTCAGATTCCCCCAAAGTGATTATATTCCGACATCGTTTAGAAGAAGTCTACGTAAGCACTCAATAAAATACTACAGATATCATGACTTATCGTCATTAATTGCCATAACGTCCCTTCTCAGTAGAATTGAAGAGTTGAGAAATATAGGCCTCAGAAACAAAGAAATGCAGGCCATTCATGCACCGCATAACTCAGGAGAAATAGCCAAACTTTTTAAAAGTAGGTTGATGAACTCCAAAACACCCTATCCGAAAATAATATACTTAGACGGCATTGCTTACGAAAATAATGAGGCGATATGTGAACTGTTTAGCAAGCACTTCGCCAGATTATACACCTTAGAGAACGATGAAGTCGTGGATTTCCCACGTAAAACAGACGAATGTTTAAGTGACATAATTTTCACCACACATGAGATCGATAAAGCTGTCGCAAATCTTAAGCTTAGTAACACTACTGGCCCAGACGGTATATCTTCCGTTCTGCTGAAAAAAGGTGGTAATGACATGAGTTTACTCTTACTCAAGTTATACTCAATTTCATTAAGCGATGGGACATACCCTAACTGCTGGAAGAAGTCTTATATTGTACCTATCCATAAATACGGGCCTATAGCTGATATCAACAACTACCGCCCCATCAACATCACGTCTGTAGTTTCACGTGTAATGGAAAAGATAGTTAAGACTCAAATCATTCAGTACTTGCTGTCAAATGACCTACTATCCCCATCCCAATACGGTTTCTTAAGTAGAAGGTCGTGCATTACTTGCCACTTAGATTATTTTGACTACATCACACAAAGCATTGATAATGGGCGTTCGGTAACAACATTGTTTCTTGACGTTAGCAAGGCCTTCGATAAAGTCCCACATATCAGACTCCTAACAAAACTCCAATCCTACGGAATAACCGGAAATCTTCACAAATGGATAAGTTCTTTTCTCACAGAAAGAGAGCAATTAGTCAAAATCAACCACCAGTTGTCTTCCTCAAAGCCGATAACCAGTGGTGTAATACAAGGTAGTGTTCTTGGCCCTATTCTATTCCTCTTATTTATAAATGACATAGTCTCTGTAATCAAGTATGGCAAGCCATACCTTTTTGCAGATGATCTCAAGATAGTATATGATTATGGGTACGGTGATATGAGCGTCGAAAGCAAGATCCAACAAGACTTAAATGATCTAGGCGATTGGAGCGAAAAGTGGCAACTGACTTTCAACCCAGACAAGTGCGGTATAACCCACCTTGGACGCTGGAAACCGATAATGTGCCTATACATGTACGGTAAGCTCCTGTCAAAACTGAACACAGTCACAGACCTCGGGATAACATACTCAGATTTATCCTTTTCCGATCACGCAAATAAGGTTGTATCTGACTGTAAACGACTTACTGGCTTTGTACTGCGTAACTTCTACACCCAAGAAGCAAGATTAGCTATATATAGGACATGTATCCGTCCCAAACTTGAATATTGTGCTCTCCTATTTAGTAACCTCAGGACTGTAGACAGAAAAAAAATCGAAAGTGTCCAGAGATTCCTCACGAAACGCATAATAGGGTTCGACCAACAAGTGGAATATGTTGACAGGTGTGTACGTCTGAAATTAGAGCCTCTGTGGTTAAGGAGAGTGAAGTGCAACCTATTTCTACTCTTCAAAGTCATTAGGAAACACTGCTACAGTAACTCATCCATAACTTGGGAAAATATTAAATCATATCAGCTGCGAAACCACGACTACCTTGTCAAGGTGGCTACCCACAGAAAATCCATTAGGGCAAACTTTTTCACCATAAAATATTGCACTCTTTGGAACCAACTACCACCTGAAATAAGATGTTGTGAAAACCCTGATGGGTTCAAACGGAGCCTAGAAAGACACTTTAACATGTCCACCCTAGCTCGTCTAAAAGACCACAACTGTTGGTAGAACGGAAATTGAAGGCCAGTCCAGTCTTCAGTATAGTCACATACGTATATCTCGACTCTAATACTCACGCAGCGAACGTTAACTAATTTACTGATTTCTATTCTCTATAATTTTCACTAAGTTGTGTTGGTGAAAGTAACACTGGAAATAATTGTAATAGCATCCACACCTTTTAACGTTTTACATATGTATATACTAATATAACAATACTTATTAATCATGCATGTTCAACTCTTAAATTAGATGGATATTAAAATACTTAAAATATTTATGCATCAAATGT